GATTCAGAGAATGAGTTGCTGACTTATCCTCGTTCTCTGAGGAAGCAAATGGAATCTAAATCAAACTTGGGATAGCTTGTTAGAAAGCTTATATAACCTAGAATATAGGAACATGGCTAGAAAATGTTTTCCACATGCATGTTTTGCAAAATTTCACATTGGGCAGCTTGGGAGTTTTGGACCAAAAGCAGAAAAAATGACCTTCAAATTGAGTTCTGCAAAAAGGGTTTGAAAACTAACACCCTAAGGATTATAGAGATGTTCTTAAAATAATTTTTCATGCAAACAATTTTACGGAGATGTTTTTCTATTGTTATGGATTGTTCTAACAGATTTGAGATACTTAGTTCATGCATGTCGTTGAAAGATCAAATGGACTTCAAATTGCACACAATATGGCTTGATGAAAAAGTTATGTCATAAGGAACACAAGTATGTGAATGCATGTCAATAAAATCACATGCAAGTGGTTCAAAAAGAAGACTTTTGCTGCTGTTAGTAAAGAAAATGCAATTCTGAGACAACTTCATTAAAAATTGCATACCTCGTTAATTTGTGATCCAAATCAAATCTAACCAATTTTGTTTGAAAGCTAAGACATTGAGGTTTATAAAAATGTGCTCATTCAAATTTTTTGAAATACAAATTGGTCGCAGCACTCACATTAATGCAGTGTGTGTCTGCTGATTTTTGAAATGAGACTTCCACTTGTCCCAATATTTTGACTTAGCAAATGAAATAAAAAAATGGGCTTAAGATAACTTGTTGGAAAGATCTAATTACAAGGATTTCATAAGTGTTTACGAATGTTCATAAAATTGGATGAAGAGGGATTTAAAAACACATTCTTTTCACTGTTTTCATAAATTTTTTTTAGAATCAGATATAGCATGGAAAGATAGTTTTTCTCCTTGATTTTTGCTCCAAATCTTACTCCAAAAGTGACTATAGAAAGCTAATGAAGTGTGTACAATGTGAAGGAATAAGGTCAAGTTAAAAACAAGGAGGTTTAGCAAGCGAAATATGCAGAACAAATTGCATACAATGTGAAAAACACAGACTTTTTCTATGAAGCTTTGAACTTTGCATGCGTCTCACCATTTTGTGCATATCTTGATCAATTGGAGTCCGATCGACGAGGCACAAAGTGCGTCAGAAAGCTAAGACAATAAGAAACAAGATGGAAGGTTTACATGTCAGTTTGTCTGCATGAAATTTTCCCAGAAATTCAAGAACGTGGCTATTGGACCAGCAGAATTCAAATTGGGTCATAATTATGAGATCAAGTCGTTTAGTGGTGAAATGGACTCCGAATCAAGCTTGCGATAATGTGTTGGAAAGATATTTTCATGTATTTTATGAAAATCAAAATTTTCGATTAAAAGAGATCAGTACAGAGGACATAAAAATTGGTTCTTTACATTGTTTCTACAGAAAAATGTAAAAATAAAAGTACTCACGTATTCTAGGCGATTGAGGGGGTAAATGATATCGGATTAAGACTTATGATATATCATTGGAAAGGTATTTCTACAAGGAATACAGAGGAAGGTTTGCATGTCAAATTTGGAGACTACAGAAATTAAAAAGTTGCCTCCTTCATTGTTGAAATGCAGAAAACGTAGAGTAAGGAAGCAATTTCACTGATTTCACTATAACTTGTGAATCCGATGTCCATTTTAAATGAAACCACTTTCATTTGAAAGCTTTTCCACTGCACATTTTAAATATGCATTTATTGGATGCAGAAAAACAAGTTAAGAGGGTCAAAAATGTCTCACACAATGGATGCAATGAGAGAGGTTTCAAGTTTTTTCATAGAGAAGGTGCAAGAACCTTGACTTATGTGTGGAGAGGGAAGTGTTTAAGGCTTTGGCCATGAAGGGTGGTGGTTTCCAGCCTAAAGGTCACCGGAAAATGAAGAGAAATGGTGAAGAGAAGAGAAAACCAAGAGAGAGAGAGTGAGGAGAGCTTACATGGTGAGGGAGAAAGGTGTCTCACCAAATGCCACACCCCTTCACCAAATGCCACATTCCTTCACCATTCAACACATGGCATTCTCACCAAATGCCACATTCTTTCCTTTTTCAACACATGGCATTCCCTTCTTTTTCAACACATGTAAAGGCACACATGGCTCATGTAAGGGCTCCTTCTTCAACACATGGCATTTCGCATGTAAGGTCTTGCCACCTTCACGTATGCAAGAGCTTCTTCCTTCTTCGACACATGGCTGCCACATGGAGTCACACATGCAAGGGCTTGCCACCTATCTTTTAGGTTTGCCACCTATCTCATGCATGCATGATATTTTGAGGATAGTAAGGTCATTTCGCAATTCATTCTATGAATTAAATTTCTGAAAAACCTTGTTGAAGCAAAATAGATCTTGTTAAGGTTTGAACTAGAGACTTCCAACTCCAAACTAAGGACTAACCCTTCTACTACTACACCACCTTTGCTAGTAGATACAACATTTACAACTCAAATATAATTATGAGATTTTTAAATAATCCAAAGCATTGAGATCAATCTCTTAAAAAAAATCAAACACATATCGACAAATTATTGGACGAAATAAAATAAATACTTTTATCTCAAAACTTCTTTAACCAAAATCGCATTACACTCGCAAATATGGAGGGAGCGAAAATGAGGATGTTACATTCTATACTCTTCTTATCCCATTTCCTTTTTACCACCTCTTCCTCGAGTTCAAGTGAATCCTCCTCTTTTCTAGTTGTAGAAACCAGTTTTATGATCAGATTTTTCCTTAGTATACTCTTTTGTATTGTTGTCTTTACTATCTCTTCCCTTGAAGTTCTTGTATTTTCCTCTCCCTCGTTTTCATCTACTGCAATCACCATTAGTATTTATTGAACTATGTTGCACTTGAAGTGCTTGTTCAAATGGTTTATCAACTGATCTCTGTTATGGACAAGCAGCAGCAGCAATCTTCTATCCTCATCACTTACAAGAGGCGCAACAAATAGGATTGGAATTTATTAGTAAGGAAATAGTTCCTAAGCAATTATTTTTCTTTCTGATATAAGTTTGAATATTTAAAGGATTGAGAAAATGAAGAAGGCAGACAGTTTTCTTCACAAAAATTAAGTGCATGAGATCAAAGGGTTCTCTCTAACGAGCCCTTAAACATTTTTTCACAATAGGTAAACAAGGAAGGAAACCTAGAAAATCAGTTTTAACAACAAACTCAGACACCAATCCTTCTACAAATAGACCCATTACTAGATCCTTAAGTGGGGCCTGTAAAAATCTCTCGGCTAGTCTTTGTTCATGAGCCTCAAGGGAACCTTGTAACTCATTGACTAACAGATCTTCAAGATTTTTTGATTCCTCAATTGCAACCACAATGTGATCGAATTTGGGATTCAAGGTTCTCATGATCTTTTCAATCACAATGAGATCGGTGATGGTTTCTCCACAACTCTTCATAGAATTCATAAGACTTGCAATCTTGCAAAGTAATCATCTATATTCTCATTTTCCTCCATTTGCAACAACTCGAATTGCCTTTTTAATGTTTGAAGTCTTACTTTCTTGACCTTTTCAGCTCCAACATATGCCTTATTCAAGATATTCCATGCTTCTTTAGATGAAGATGCACTTGCTATCTTCTCAAAATTCGAATCATCCACGCATCGATGAATGATCACCAGGGCCTTGCAATCCTTCTTCCTCAAATCTTTAAACACAACTTTTTGAGCCTCAGATGCATTTTCTTTAGGTGTCTCAATCCCAACTTCAACAATCTTCAACAGATCTTGAAATCCAAGGAGTGCTTTCATTTGCACACTTCATCTGCTAAAGTTCTTTCTTGTGAGAATTGGCAGATTCGATGGAAATTGACCATTTGATGCCATTTGTTAACAATCTTGTCCCTGAATGTAACCTAGCTCTCGACACCACTGTAGGAACTCTAAGTTCTCTAACACTTTGCACACACACTCAGACAATTGAAAGAAGCAGATAATGCAGAGAGGAAGGAGGAGAGTTAGAGAGAGATTTCAACAATAGTCACTAAAGTTAATGTGAATAAACTGGTTCTTATATACTAGTGAATGAATACAAATGAATTTCAGCTTAATGAGCTGTTAATAATAATAAAATAGCTAACTTTCAATTTCGGGTAGTTAGTATACAACTAAACCACTTGTCTTCCTATAATTGGAACCTTAACTAACTAATAAGGATCTGAACTATTTACAACAGTCCAAACACTAAAAGGAAGTACTTGTCACAAGAACAATCAAGATCAAGGCAAGGGCAAATTTGAAAGATAAATTGGAGGAAAAAGAGAAAGGACAGGTAGCTGCAAATCCAAAGGCAAGGGCAATAAAGTGCAAGGCCTAGAGTAACTAACTCTCAATTACGTGACTATGAGTGGAGCCTGAAATGAGTATAAGGGAAAGGATGAGGCAAGAGAAGGGTGTGCATGAATTGATAATTCTGTTATCTTCTTTCTTGGAATATTTATGGGTTCTTCTATTCCTTTACAGGAGACTCTTAGTGTTTTTCATACTGATTCAATAATACTACCATCGCATCCTTCCTTTTTCCATTATTCACTCTATCATTTTGATAGCAGTTTATTTAATACCTTACTGCCCATGGAAATTGTCCAACGCTAAGTCCCATGTTCCCCCTGCCTCCAATTGGTACATTCCTCCAGGTGTTACTTTAAAAAATCTTAGCCTTAACAGTAACCAAAAACAGAGCGTTTATTAAGCATGAATAGATCACTTCCAGTTATGTGAATCTTCTTCAACTACATTTTATGTATAACCCAAACAAGTCTAGTGACTAAATGTTTTTAATGAGGAAATCCAAAGGAGTACACTTTTCTCTTCCACAAATGAGCATCATTAGACGAGAATATCTACCTTCTCAATAGACAAGAGAATATCTACCGTCTCAAGAAAGTACCCCTTCCTGGTTTTATAACTAATATAAAATGTCAGTTTGCAGAGAATATGTACCTTCTCAATCTTTTGTAGTCTAATTGACGCACAGTCAAAGAAGGGAACAAGCAATTTCAAGTTGCGAGCATATAACTCCCTACCTGTATCATAATGCATCATTGCTTCAGTTAACCGACACTATTTCAAAATGTTTTTATTTACGTATTTATTTATTTCCCTTTAATTCTTTTGAGATTTGAAAACAGAAAGAGATAGTGACTGCAGTTTATAACTGAAGTTACTGATCAAGTTACTGATGAAGGATAACTAGAAGAAGAGAAGACAAACCAAGCACAAAAGAAAGATTAGCATGATAGTAGTTACTGGTGAAAGACATGCCCATGATTCTTACCACGAAATTTAATAGTTGGATCTTCGAAGAGACAGTTTTCGGCATAAATTGAAGAAGTGAAGTTCCCTAATTGTCAAACAGAAGTAAGAAACGTGTCCGTTAATTTAGCTGTTTATACTAAAAACTTGCTATTCATTACTGCACGAACGATCGCTCTTCATAATACATGCATGCAAAGATTAAAAGATATTTAACATGCTAGAAAAAAACAGTGACGCTGATGTCATTATCGTAATAATAAAACAAATGGAAATTAAAATAGGGAGCGAGAATAAAATAGTAAAAAAATGTTCGTAAAGAGGGAAATAAAGAAAATGGAAAAAAGGGTACCTGTTACAAAATAAGCATTGTCATAATCAGACTTGATGATCCTTAGAACATCATCGACGCTGGAAGCTTTGAATTCATCTATGTTACTATCTCCATTCTTCACAACGCTGCATGTTAATAAATGAGAGTGAGACTCAACCATAATACATATGTTGATGATATTGACGGAGTGAAGACCTTGTTTGAGGGGAAGAAGAGAAAAGCCTCAAGAGCTCCGTCACTCCGCTAACCGCTATTTTCAAAATCTGAGGGGTTTCAGTTAGTTTTTCTCTGTTAAAACTTGCATAAGTCTTTCTTGTATCGGATTTGGGTCTGTTCCTTTGCAACTGCAAGTTCAACGTGATCGATGAATTTGACAATCTGAATTCAGCTGTATAGATATATATACGAATAATTTGATTGGACTGTCAGTATGTAGTACCTGGTTGTGCAAGTGCAAGGGTGGTAGAGGAGGACTAAAGCAGCATATTTTAGCCATTTCCTGCTTTTATGATTCATATAATATGGCCATTTAGATTAAAATTGTCTCTGTTTTCCGGCTCAGTTCACCACCTCCCACCCTTTTTTCAGTCTACATTCGTGTGGCCTAGGCTCTCTCACTCTCTACTCCACCAGTGGGCCCACCAAAAGAAATTAGGCCCAACTATGCCGACGGTTTTTCTTGTTGGGCCGCTCTATTATAAATTTTATTCAATGTTCTTTTTTCTTGTATTTGAGAAACTATTTTTAATAAATACATCAATCATAAAATTTAAAATATAAATAAAATAAATGATAATGATAATCCATATAATTATAATAACATATTAAAAAGAAGAGAATTCTTTACGTCTTCTTCACCCTACCTTTATCTATAGGAATAGAAATATGTCAGATTGCCGGTGATAAGTCAGAGGAAGGTGAGGATGATGTCAAGTCATCATGCCCCTTATGCCCTGGGCGACACACGTGCTACAATGGCCGAGACAAAGGATCGCGATCCCGTGAGGGTGAGCTAACTCCAAAAACTTTTTCTCTCTCGACGATGAAGCTTATCCCCCATTGTCTCACTGACCGATCTTGACCCTTGTTATTTTGAGGTCATATCTAGTATTCAGAGTTTGCCTCGATTTGGTACCGCTCTCGCAGCCCTCACCGAAACAATGCTTTACCCCTAGATGTCCAGTCAACTGCTGTGCCTCAACGCATTTCGGGGAGAACCAGCTAGCTCTGGGTTCGAGTGGCATTTCACCCCTAACCACAACTCATTCGCTGATTCTTCAACCAAGCTTCATCCTAGTCATAGATAGATCACCCAGGTTCGGGTCCATAAGCAATGACAATTGCCCTATGAAGACTCGCTTTCGCTACGGCTCCGGTGGTTTCCCTTAACCCATTCTTACGTTTCCACACTAAAGTTAAATATATTATTTTATTTTCTTTTTTTCTCTATTTTATGCCCATTGGTGTTCCAAAAGTAACCTTTTGAAGTCCTGGAGAAGGAAATGCATCTTGGATTGATATATAGTGCGACTTGTCAGATATATTTGGTCATACGGGATTTCCCCGTTCTCCCCCCGATTGAGATATCCTCTCTTTCACCACCAAAAAAGAATGATTGAATCATTCAAAATTTGGAGCGTAAAGTGTAATGAAGTGCAATTCGATCGATTTTTTATTTTTTGGAGGGGTATTCAGATTACTATTCGAAATTCAAAATAATTTATGGTTGGCTTGCTTGGACCAATATAACGAAGTATCTAGACTCTGTTTAGAAAAAACCAATTGGTAATATATCCACAATTACTACTTCTATCATATCATATATTTTACAGAAAAAATGAAATAATAAATTCAGAGAAGAGATAAGTCGTAACAAAAAGACATGGTATTATAATATTTGTCCTATATGTACAAATAAAAATCGGGCAGATCCTTATCCTTACTCATAGTAGAAAAGAAACCTAAAAGAATTGAGGAAGTCCGAAACAAGAAAATTACATTGTGATTTGTGTTCGATCTCGATGAAAGCAATACATCAATGAGAAGTTAGTTCAATAAATTTAGTACATTTTTTTTCGTTAAAAATTCGAAAGAGTCCATTATAAAAAGGGAAAGAGGGTTGAAATAGACACATTGATTCCATTTTTTTTTTAAATTTTCCTGAAAAGGATATACATAGATATCTTTCTATATATCATTAGTATTCCTAGGATCAATATACAACTTTTTCTGAAATAAAAAAAATGATAAATAGATCCATTTACAATAATGAAGTAAATACAAAAATAACTGATAAAACAAATCAAAGTATAATTCACTTTATTTTGATTATACACAATACTATTAATATGAATTCACAAAATTCTTGTGACGTCTCCTTTTTGTCACAAGCATATGTATTTTTTTTTTATAAAAAAAATAGAGTTACTCCTTAATTGAATTCAAATTTGTATCTAATCTCAAATCAAACGTGGATTGATGTTTTGTTCGAAAACTACAACAATTCAATTTAGGTTGTTATATTGTAATAAAAAAGATAATCCGTTAAGAAGAATAAATCTTTTTTTGATTCAACTTAGTTGTTTATTTTGATCACTTTATCATATGAATTCTAATTTTATCATACAAATCTCTATTCTATACCTTTCCGGAGCTTAGTCTCCGAGAAATTTTAGTTTTTATGAGCTCGTTGGCAATCATAAAAAGACAATTCTCTTTTAATATAGCTATTTGTGCAACTATTTTACGATTAAGAAGCAATTGTTTCTTGTATAGATTATAAATTAAATTATTGTAAATATAGTATATTTTTGGATTCTCGCAAATTACTGCATTTATTCAAACTATTCCTCAACATAAAATTAAAGCTTTGGTTTCGGCTCATCGAGATAGAAATAGGAAAAAAAAAGATTTTCGCAGTTTATGGACTAGTCGAATCTATAAAATTCTATTTATATTAGAAGAAAAAGATTCTATTTATATTAGAAACTATAATAATAATTATATGCGAAATATAAAATAATAATAAAATAATAAAAAAGAATCAAAATGAATATTAAAAAAAATAATAAGAATTTTGTTTTTCAATTTATTTAACTTTGAATTAATATGGAAGAAAATAGGAGAAAAAATATCTATTTTATTTTGATCCCTTTTTTCTATTGTATCTAATTTGTTCTCTTTTCACTTTTTTTTTAGAACAAAAGAATAGAGTGATCTTAGAATGCCCTTTCCTTTTCTTTTAACTCATTTCATTTTGTAATAGGTTCCATTCTTCGAATATCTACAACAAGTTAGACTTATAATATAATTATTAGGTCTATATTTAGTTTATTACTTGTTAAAGGCCTTATTTTTAGGGGTGTACAAAAAATTCAGATTTAATGATTCAATTCATAACTAAACTAAAATAAATTTAAAAAATCTATATTATTTTAAAATATTAAACATCCAATCTATTTTTTTTCTGGTTGAGATAAATTTTAGATTTCATTTAATAAAACTAGTTTTAATTTTGAAAAACCAGTTTTTATGTTAAAAGTTTCACCTAGGTCCCGAGACCAACAACTGCTCAAATGATGTTCTCTTGCCCTCGCAAAAAGGCACTTTCACTCGTTTCTTTCTTCAGTTTTGTTAATATATATTTTTTCTCTATCTGTATTATATATATATATATATATATATATATATATAATGTATTTTTTATTAAATATATTTTAAAAAATATTTTTTTAATTATTTTATGATAAGATAAATTTTATATCTTATAATAATATTTTAATATATTAATTTGTAATAATATTATATAATGTTAATTTATATTAAATAAAATAAAAGCATAGATTATATATATCTTGCTATGCTATAGAAGTATATTATTAAAACCAGTTTTAAATTATATCTACATTTAAAAACAAGTTTTAATGCAGTTCTTAGAAAAGTAATATAAATTGGCTTAAAATCTAATCTACATAATTAGATTTAAAATAGATTTAGATTGGATTTATACAAATTTAATCCATGCTCACTTCTACTTATTTTTGGCTAGATCTGGTTTCTCTGGATGACTTGAACTAACTTGAAGCCTGTTAATAAAATCTGTTGCAAATTTTTTTTTAATATGCCATCGAGCTTAGGTCAATAAACAAGTTTAAACAAGCTCAAGTCAATAAACATGCAATAAACAAGCTTTAAACTGACTTTTAGACTCAAAATTGTGAATTTTTATACTAATAAAAATGAAACACATGACAAGTTAATATATATATATATATATATATATATATATTATAATTCATTTAAAATTATATTATTTGCTACATGGTTCTATAATTATTATTATTATAATTATATATTGCATATTAAATTTTTTATTTTATTTTTTTGTCATTTTTTTTATAAATTTTTAGTTTCAAATAAAATATACTTCATATTTAAGCAATTTTTATTCATTATAAATAAAAATAATTATAACATAATATATTAATATAATAATTAATAATTAAATAATAATAATAATAAAATTAAGAATATGAAAAATATATTAATATATTATTATTATTTTATTTTTAAATTTTAGTTCCTTTAATTTTGATTGCATTATGTTTTTGTTTAAAGACTTAACCACTATTTAACATTTTAACATGTGTACAAATATTTTTAGTTTTGAATAGAGTATAATTTCGATTTGATATAAATAAAAAGAATTATAACACGATATATTAATATATTAATTAAATATTATAAATAATAGAATTAAGAATATAAAAAATTATATATTAATATAGTATTGTTATTTTATTTTTAAATTTTAGCTTGACTAGTTTGATTGCGTCCAGTTTGAATACTTAATTACTATTTATTTTGTTCAAATGTAATAAAATATAATAATTTATTATTTAAACATATTTTAAATATTACTAGTTAGAATTTTTCGTATACAGGATCCTAAAATTTTTTAAAAGTACCACAAAATTTATCTTATTTTTAAGGGTACCATAAATTTTTTTTATTGGTATCGTATCCAAAAAATTTATACTAATAAAAATAAAATATGTAACAAGTTAAAAAAATATTATTATATATAATTTATTTAAAATTATATTATTTATATTATTTGCTACATAATCTTATTATATATACATCTATAGTATATTAAATTTTTTATTATTTTTTTAATAAATTTTTAGTTTTAAATACAATATAATCCATATTTAAGTAATTTCTATTTATTATAAATAAAAATAATTATAACATAATATATTAATATAATAATTAAATAATTAAATATTAATAATAATAAAATTAAGAATATAAAAATATATGAATATAATAATATTATTTTATTTTTAAAATTTAGTTCATTTAATTTTGATTGTATTTTATTCATGTTTAAATACTTAACTACTAATAAGGGTCTGTTGATATTCAATCCACAGGATTTTCATTAGCTTACTCAAAAAAAATATTATCACTATAACTAAGTTTGCAAAAAATATCCTTAATAAGTAACCTAAAATCTCTAAGCTAAGTGAGATTAATAATGTACTAACTAGATGCAATATAGGAGGACCCCAACAAATTCAATAAAA